ACCCACACCCACACCCACACCCACACCCACACCCACACCCACACCCATACACTCATCCAGACCCTCACCCTCATCCACACCCATACACTCACCCACACCCTCACCCTCACCCACACTCATCCCCACATTCTCACCCATACGCTCACCCGCACCCGCACCCGCACCCGCACCCGCACCCGCACTCACCAAAACTCAGCAAACAGAGTTCGGCGATCAAAACATCTTTTTCCTATGAAAAGAGCAGCACATTTTCGTCGAAATACTTTAATAGCAAATGTCTATGCATTTAGTTTGTCGTATTTCTCCGCAAGGTTATTAAACAGTTTCGACAACACTACACATGCAAGCGTTAACAACGTCAGTACAACTCAAATACAGTCTTTCTCCGCATTCAAATCTTCAACTGCACCCTTCACACAAGCTATTTCGTATTTTAAAAGAAAAATGTATATGATTCTATAGGCACTACCGTTTTTTTTGTTTTTTTTAATCAAATTCAAAAAAAGTACGCAAATATACGACAATTCTATCTGGTATTTCATGCTAATTTTTTTTAGTTTCACTTTATGTGAGATCATAGTCGATAGGCTTCTCTTTATTTATCCATTTAAAACGACTCCTCTATCAATATAATGACATGAATTAATTATCAAAAATATTTAACTAAATTTATTTTGAAAAAGTAATTTAATAAGAAAATAAAAGCTAAAACAAATAATTCATATACTGCTGATACTATTGAAGATTTATGCAAAAGCATCAAACATCACATATTGAGTATGTGAAGAAGAAAAAATCACATAAAACACACAATCTTTAGTTTTAAGAAATATTGAAAATACATATTTCACTAATCGAACAGTCTTATTGAGAGAATTTGAAGTTTATCAGGTCTGGATATTTGAATTTATTCTTAATTAATATTATACAGTAAAATGTAATAACCTGTCATGACAATACAACCATCATCACTTCTTTATTACTATTACCTCTGATTTCATTTTAGAAACTAGTTTCCAGTGAAAATATATTTTTCGAATTATTAAGAACTATAGATAAATATATAAGATTGATTTTAAATATTTTTTAATTAAATCTATATGATATTATTTAAAATATTTGTCATTTAGAATAGAATACGTGATCAAATATCGATTCATTAATTGTAATATTATAATACTAATTGAGAAAAAAATGGAAGAAAGTAAAAGCTTATGCATTGAATCATTGTTTCTTTTTTGATATCAAAACAAAATTCGTACAGGTAGACGAATGTAATCATTTCAATATGTAACTAAGAAAGATTTCGGGGAAAAATAAGTGAAAAATTCCCCATGTTATTCATTTAAAAGAGGCAAAAACATATAAGCTGTGCATTAGTTCTGTTCCTTTTTCACGTAAATGCATCAATAAGAGAAAGCGTTTTTACGAGTTATTTAAAAAAAGAACGATGTCTGTATTTATTCCAGACAGTCGTTTATATCTCAAAATAAAATTTCTGTTTTTTGAAATGGTATTATTCCCATTTCTTTCATTCCTCTGCTCCATTGAAAGTGCGCAAATAAAAAATAGAAGTCTCAGCAGCTATAGTATTTAAACCATGATTTTTTGTAGTCATTTCATTCTTTTGCTACATAGATGATGTTGATCATGCGAGCGCTTATAATCCTCTTAGTAGGTTTTAGCACTATTTTACATGGTAGTCATTTTCGTGGTGGTACAATGACATGGTACATAATATATATATATAGTCTTCTACTGATATATTTTTTTATTATTCTATTTTATAGGCGTCCTTTGAATAATACTCCATCCGGTAGTACAGTTGCCGTTCAAGTGCGTGAACGATGGTCATGGAATCGTGCTTATGTTAGTGGTGTTGTTAATTTTTTCTGTAATGATGCGACCATAGCTGCACATGGTACTATGGGAATTAGCTCTGGCAATTATGTCAAATGTTATACTGGTACTTGTAGTTATTGGACTAATATGGATACAGCAATAAACTGTACAGATTACAGTGCTAACCTTACTGTTAGTTCTGGTGAACATTATGAAACGCAAACATTTCCATTAAATATTACATTTAGTATTGCTTTTAGCGCAAGTCAATGGTTTGCAAATATTGTTGCTGGCAAGGGGAGCTCGCCATGGAGTGTTGCCTGTCGGATCAACACTAATATTAGACCCGATGGCTACATAAATTCCAGTCCTATTGCTGTCAGTCTTCCTATTATTTTCAAACAAATTAATATTCAACAAGTACATGTTGTTCAAATGTCTGACTTTGATGGAACTGATATATTAAAATGTCGATGGTCGACTTCATCAGGTAATATTAACAATTTCGATGAATGTGGTGGTGTATGTAATGGTGTTCCTGGTGCTAGTCTTACTCCGGAGAATTGCACAATTGTGTTTACGCTTACACTTGCTGGCTGGTACGCTGTAGCAGCATTACAAATTGAAGATTTTTATAGTAGTACATCTACAACACCAATGAGTTCTGTTCCAATACAATTTCTTTTCTATGGTTATGGTGCACCTCTCGATAATTGTACTACTCCACCTGCTATCATTGGTAATCTACCAAACCGAGGTAAATTATATATAACTTTATTATATAGTCTTTCCACATGTATAATTGTTTGCTCCATTTTAGCTTGTATTGGTACCCCAATCGGTTCTAATGTTACTCAATATATCATTGTACAAGTTTATTGTCCTGGACATCCTATTGTTGATTTAGTTAGTAGCGTTCCAACTGGTATGACAAAGAGTGGTATTATCCTTTCAAGTCCTAGTTAGTGTATATTACGTGTTTTATTTTGTTTCTTTCATTATTTCATTACAGATATCTATGAAATCATTCTCAGCTGGGTTCCGATAGAACCTCAGTATGGTCCCCAATCTGTCTGTGCTGGAGCTATCGATAGTATACAACTTCAATCTAATCAGTGGTGTATTACATTCTTAGTTGGCATTGAATCTCCTGATGTCATTCGTCCAACACTGGTTCAAGGTTCAGCATCACCAATTGGCACTGTCTTTCAAAATCAAACGCTTTTCTCGATTCAAAGTAATTCTTATGAATAACTTAAGAGATATTCTCGATTAATTGTTTAATTCACTATTT